CAGCTCTTCCTTGGAAACCCTATGGGGCAGTTCTACTCTGGCCTATAGGGTCACTGTGAGTTAGAATCAACTCGAGGGCACTGAACAACAACAATGGCTAATGACAATGAGCATTGTTTCATGTGTTTCTTGGCACTTGAATATTCTCTTTGGTGAAGTTTCTGTTCATGTCCTTTGCCCATTTTTTGATTGGGTTATTTGTCTTTTTGTTGTTAAGTTGTAGAAGTTTTATATGTATTTTGGATATTAGACCCTTATTGGAGTTGTGGTTCCCAAAGATTTTTTTCCCAGTCTGTATGTTGTGTTTTTACTCTTTTGATAAAGTCTTTTGATGAACATAAGTATTTAATTTTCATGAGGTCTATTTTTCTTCTGCTGCTTGTGCACTTGTTGTTGTATTTGATAATGAAACATTAAAAAAACTATGTCCCATAATTTTGCCCCATGTTTTCTTCCAAGAACTTTATAGTTTTAGCTTTAACATTTATGTGCTTGATCCATTTTGAGTTAGTTTTTATGCTTGACCTATTTTTTTATTCACCATGGCAGTACTCTTTAGGCATTCGCTAAAAGTACTGCCATTTTGATCAGAGAAATTTTCAGTATCAGTAAGTGGACTCATTATTTATATATCTATCTTAATTGTTAATGCATGAACTAGTCTTTGTGTGTGGTCGTGAGCACCCACTCATAATATATTTATAATATAGTTTTAAATGCTCATGTAGGCTCAATTTTGTTGTGGGCTATTTATTTAAAAAGTTATTAGTTAAACTGGGTCCCATGAACCTGGCAAAGGAGAATGCATTTCTGCCCAAGAAAAGTTTTAAGTTTAGACAACAGATGTCAACAAGTCGAAGCTGGTGCTGCTCCTAAAACCAGAGGAAGAACTACTACAGGCCCGTCTCTGATACCCTCTATCCTCATTTTCTACATGGCAGTGGCTTGGTCCTGCTCCTGGCTATCCAGCGCTGTCTATGCCAGCCCGCCATCATACTTACCAATTGCCGTTCAGCTGGTGTCTAGAGTTTTCCAGGCAGGATTCCAAACATTATTTTCCATTGTTCCATCATGTACAGCAATTTCTGTCAGCCAGTGACTCCTGAATTCAGAAAAATCTGGTGCTGCATGCTGTGTCCTTTGTCAACTCATCTCCTCCATTTGAGTTGAACTCACCTAGACTGGGAAACTCTTTTGTTGAAAGTAGGTCTAAAGTGTGCATGACTTTGGTTAGACTGTACCTGCACCAGTGTCAGAGTATTTACAATTGAAGAGAGTTTGCTAATACTCAGAAATCACAAATTGGTGGTGATGATAACTTTCAAAAATAGTTCTTACAGTTGAAGAACAACAACAAATTAGCAAAGTGACTGCTTAGCGCTGATAGTTTGTGACCTCTGCTATAGCAGCTTTTCCTGGTTCACATACACACCAAGATATACCAGAAAACTTGACCTTTTGCAGGCTGCCATTTTACTAAGGAACCACTCCTATAACATTTTCTCACAGTAAGCAGTTGAGGGCAAGGACCGTATCTTTATGCTCCAAATTCCTAACTTAATAGATACTCAACAGATATTTGGAGGATAAATAAATTCATGAATGATTGAATAAATGAACATCTTTATGTCAGATGTTCTCACTGTTTTTCAGCATCAGCTAAGTTGGACTAAATTCTAACCCTGCATTAGCTGTACTAGGGTGGGTATTGGATAAATTATTTATTAAAAAAAAACCCCTTTGTTTTCACACATTTTGTTTCTTCATGCTGTAAAATAAGAAAAGGCATAATCAGTCATTTTCTTAATCAATTGGCCTATGTGGCTCAATTCCCCTTTTCCCTTTTAAATCAGTGTTTAAATCTCACCTATACCATCATTGGCCAGAATCCCTTAAGGTCTAAGGCAACAACATATACCTTATGGATTTATTGCTCTTCCTGGTACCCTGCTGTGCCCTTCCAGGCTCACACACCAGGGACCGGGGGCTCGATAAGTGATGGCTGAGGGAACTGGAGCCCCAGAGCAAGGGCAGAGTTCATTTCTGTACTACCCATAGGAAAATGCTATTGTTGTTCTCTTTCCAGATTCTGGAAAAGTGTTCTGTGATAGACTATGAATTTTCTTCATCGATTTAGAAAATTTCAAATGGAACTTTGAATTCATGAAACTTTTGAAACCCCTGAGTTTGCAGAATTGCAACAGGCAGAATTGTGTATAGATTTTTTTTTTTATGTGCATGCATAGATTTTTAAATTTTTATTTTAGAGATTACTCTTGTCAGAGATAAATGCTAATTCCAAAGATTACAGAAGCAATAGGGTCAAGCTCACACCCATCTGATGTATTGTCAGTGCTTGGTTACATTTATACGTCCTTTCCTTTCCCAATTTTTGGCAGAGAAGTAAAGACAGAGTGTGCAAACCTGCTGATCTGAATTTCCTAGAACGTTGGCAAGGTTGCTGTGAAATAATTGAGCAAATTAAGTGACCCAAGATTACTGAATTTTATAGTCACCTAAATTAGAACTTGAAGTCCCTGGGTGGTGCAAATGGTTACCTTGCTAGGCTGCTAACCAAAAGGCTGAAGGTCCACTCAGAGGCAACTCAGAAGAAAGGCCTGACAATCTACTTCTGAAAAATCAGTCTATGGAGCACAGTTCTACTCTGACACAAATGAGGTCATAGCCATGAGTCACAATTGACTCAGAGACAACTGTTTTTTTAAGTTAGAATTTAATGACCTTGAGCCTGGAGTTCATTTTTCACTGACTGTTTAGGTGTCCCCCCAACCCCTGCCCCGCTGCTTTATGTTTATATTGATATGCAATTATTCTATTACTCCTTTGTGTTAACCACTGACTCTATGAACATGTGGTCTATATCCTTGCTATTGAAAGTGTGATCTGTGGGCTGGAAGCATCAGCAGCTCCTGGGAGCTTGTTAAAAATCAGAATCTCAGCCACCCGAGAACTATTGAATCAGATCTGAATTCTTAGTTGTCTAAGATATTTCCAGTTTCTTCCTATCAAAAATAATGCAGCATCACTTTTTAAAAACACTTGGCCTCTAATGCCTCCATGGCCCTCACTGTCCTGTTTATTTCCCTCTTTCCCCCTTAGAGGTCCTCTTTCTGTAGTGGGAATTCCCATGGTTCAGTCCTTGACCCCCCTGCTCTTCTCTCTTACCTTGTTTCTTCAGGAAATAGCCCCACTCTAAACTTCAGCAGTCACCATTGGGCAAATGTCTGCAGAATCCCTGATCTGGCCCTGAACTTTCTCTACTGCCTTCATTGATTGCACTTTGCCCATGGTAGCAATGGTAGGCATTTTTTTCCTGGAAATGGACCATCTTCTCTCCCAAACTTGTTTCCTGCCCTCCCGCCTCCTTCCTTTGCTTTCTGTGAAGCCCTTGGACCTCACAACTGGATTATTGCTGAAGGTCCCTGCCTGGTTTTGTTATGTTCAGTCTTTATCCTCCAAATCATCTCTCATAATGCTGCCTGACTAATTTTCCAGAAACACCATTTCTTTCCTAGTATTCTCCTGCTCGAACACTTATTGATTCCCCACTGCCTGTGGGAAAAAGCTCAGAACGCCTTAGCCTTGCATTCAGAACTGATTATAGCTTGCCCTTGATATTCCTTTAATAATGATTTTTAATTATAAATATTCCAAACGTACTAAAAATCTAACAGATATTCATCTTCGTTCCACCCAGATTACACCAATATTAACATCTCCCCCATATTTACTATGGTTCTCTTTCTCTAACTAAATAAATAAACATTAGAGTCATAGGTAGGTCCCCACCTCTATCCTTCTTTTCTTTCTTCTAGAAATAATCATGCCCCTATTAGCTTTATCTCTCAAAACTCTCCTATGGGAACTGTTTGGTCCTCTTAGATTCACCTTCTCCCTGGAATCTCATCCTTCCTCCTTTTTCCTTTGAGACCCAGTTCACTTTCCACCTCTTCCCAGGAGCCTTCCTACCATGCCCCTGGTTTCTAAATTGCCACACAAGTTATCTCCATTGTCCACTTGGAGACAATATTCTGCCTGTGACAGTGTTTATGCAGCAGTTTTCTCTTAGCGTTTGGTTTCTATTCCTCTTATAGTAACTCTTTCATCTTGCTTTATACAGTGTTTATGCAGCAGTTTTCTCTTAGCATTTGGTTTCTATTCCTCTGATAGTAATTCTTTCATTTTGCTTTATACTATAGTTGATTGTCTGCATGTATTTCTCCTCCACTAGATAACAACCACTTTGAAAATCAGATCTGAGCCTGAGGTACATTTTATTCATTCATTGATACGTTCTATAGAGACTGCTAATAAGTGCCAGGAATTGTTTTAAGCACTAGGGATATAGGAGTGAACTAAAGAGACTGTTGTTGACCTTATGGAACTTCTGTTCCAGTGGGGGGAGAGAGAGAAATTACATGAATAAATGAACATATCAAGAGTGAATGGTGCCAAAGAGAAAAATGAAGCAAGCAAAAGCTATTTTAGATAGAATTTAAATATGTATATCTTCTATACATTCTACCTCAATACTAAATGCGGAAGACACTCAGTAAATATTTGGTGAATTGCACAGTGTACTCATATACAGAAGATTTGATTACCTGCCTGGGAAAGAGTACCCTGGGTAGATGGTCCTTCTAGGAAGGTGGTTATAGGAACACCAGTTTTAATCCTTTGCTGCCAGGAGCCCATCTGGGCTGTTCCTTCCCCCTATCAGTAGATGTGCACTCTGGGAATGATAACAAATTTTAATACTAGCTTCAGTAAAGCATGGTTAGGGAGGAGAATCTACTTCCCAGCACCACATTAATTTCACATTTAAATGGGGATCAGTTTGGTACAATCTTTCCCACTGCTCTTCTTCAACCATTTGGCTGGTGGAGGGCTCCCTGTTCACAGCGCTCCTATTCCTATGCATGCTGGTATCCAACTGTGGTTGCCCAAGAAGGCCAATGTTCTCTTTTTCATTCTTTTAGCCTCCAGGATAGGATAAGATCCCTCAGCTTGTCCCTTAAAGAAATCACTGCTAAGGTAAGTACCTCTACACTCCCATTTTTAAAATATGTCTTGAACATTGTCTTTTGACTTACTTTCATGCCTAAATCACAGAACGCCTGACCCCTGAATGCTATGTTGACTTTGTAAAGTCAGGTGCAAGGGCTGCTCCCTGTGATTGCAGTTCTCACTTGCGAACATCCTGGAAATGGATTGGTTTGGCCTTTGTTTCAGAAAGAGCTGTCAGTTTTAGGAAACGGGAAGGGACTACTGCTGTGAACAATTGAATGCCTTTGCTTAAAAAGACTTTCGGGATGACGTAATTATAAGAAATTAATTACTTTTCCTCCCAGGAGAGCAGGGTTCACGATCCTCACAAACAAGGAAATACTGTAGCAAGTGATGGTTTTTGTTTTTTAGTGTTTTTCATTTGACTTGAGAATCGTTTTGCCTATTTTACCTGTCATTCATACTTCCACACCAGGACCCTGGTTTGTATAGAGATGGCACACTTACTTCTTCACTCTTCCCTGAGAGCACATAGTCAAAGAAATTATACAGTCACCGTCTTGGTTAGTTAGAATAACCTCAGTTAACACAACAAATTCCCTTCCCTGTAGAGATAGTTACACCAGACTGAGTTATTGACAACTGTGAAGTAGGGTCAATTACTCTGAGTTATTACATCTAGACTAAATTTTTTGGCAGAGAACTGGGCATCAATCATGAATTAATTGCATTAGGCCTTGGAACCAAAGGTTCCAAGATAAGATGCTTAAAATGTAAAAAGAATAGGTTGATGACCAGAGAGTACAGCAGCCGAGCTCACACTGGCCACACCTCCCAGTTCAGGGAGACAGGCCCAGTGTCTGCACATCACCACAGCTAAGCTTAAATTGGAAGTGTATTACTGGCAAAAAAGGTCAGCATTTACTCTGGCTGTTTTCTCAGTTTTTCTATCTAATACAATTCTGAAAACAACAGTCCGTGATTTTGCTGAACATCACACAGAGCATTAAGCTTTTTTTTCCCCCGTTAGAAAGCTTTGTCTTTATCAGGCAGTCAGCTTCATGATTGTCTCCCACCAACCTTGATGGGTTCCCCTTGGCTTCAAGAGGACTTGAGTGGGGAGGGGGTTGTGGCAGGAACAGACTAGGTCTCAGGCCAGCCCCCCTCACCACCACAAGAACTGTTGTTGTTGGTTGCCATCGAGTCAGTTCTGACTCATGGTGACCCCACGTGTTATCGAGCAGAACCACTTCATCGGGTTTACAGACCAGTAAGATTGATGGATAATTATAACCTGCACACAAGAAGAACTTCCTATTAGGAAAAAGAGTGAGCTTTGGTGTCAATGAGATAGCACTGTGGCCAGGGACCTGGGAATGCTTGACATCTCTTCTGCTGTCCCTGAGAGCTTCCCAAGACTGTTTGCCCAGAGAGTAAGAGCAGGATGAGGCTCAAAGTGCCGCTTACGCAGAACTGGGCAAGGACCTGGCTCCCTGTGCAGAACTCAGGTAAGGGGCTTTGCTTGGAGCAGGGCTTCTATCCTCTCCCTCCTCCTTCCTCAAATCTTCATCTTAGGACCTTATTTGTCCTGCCCAACTGCGGGACAAGGGAGACTCTGACTTGGTTTAGCAGTTTTGTTATGTGAAGCAGGAGAGGAAGTGCTAGAGAGCAGAGCCTGCATTTCTGCCTTGGAAGTCACAGTGATGTTGCCAACAAGTGCTCATGGCCCTGTTGATGTCAATTACCCTGACCTTCAGGCAGAGCGAGTGAGGAGCTGGGGAGAGAGACAAAAGCTCCTGGATGGACAGAGATGGTAGTGGTATTCCTTGTCCTCTTTTTTCTACTGTAAATATGTGCCGTTTATATTTTTTCAGGTGTGGAATTAAAAGATGAGAGGACGTTCTTGGTTCTGGGTTGACTGATATCTTCAGAACACACTCTGTGTGTAATATGAGTGAGTCTGTATACTTGCAGTGAGTATACAGATGTGTAGATTACATAACGTAGATGGTGTTTGTATGTGTGTGTATTTTATATGATATTCTGTATTGTGCATACACACATAAACCCAATACACACACAATATTGGGATTTGTTGATAATTTCCAGCTACTGTTAAAGATCTTTGGATTTGCCCAAATACCAAAAGTGGTTTGTTTTATTTGCATACCTTTTCTAGTGCATTTACAAAAATACTATAATTATTTTGCATCTCCATAAGATTAAGGGACTCATGTCTTAGATTTTAAGATGCAAATATAAAAGCTCCATTTGGTAATGAGTTCCAATTTTATTTGGAAACAGAAGGGGGATGCAGATTTTCTGGGGTGTGAATGTGTGTATCTAGGTGGGCATGTCTGTATGCATGTACATGAGTGTGTGTGAGGGAGAGAGGGCTGGGGAGAAAAAGCAGTAGAGAAGAGATGCTGAGATATGGTAGTCTACAGATAATTAAAACAAAACTACCCAATCACCAAAACAGAAAACAAAAACAAAACCCACAAAACCAGCTTTCTCTGTACTCTGGACTAGATTGACCAGTGACCTTGAGGTGAAAGACTTAGCTTGGCTCAGCTTTCTTTCTTTGGTGTGTTAGATATTTAGATCGGAGAGGTGGAACCTTTCTTCCATTCATTACATTTCTTTGAGTTTGGGTTACCCAAACCAAAGGTCATTAAAGGATAAATGAGATGGAAGAAATAGTTGGAAATAAATGGGATATCTGGAGATTGGTAGATATTAGATTACATCCAGTAGTTCCTGAAAGAATGTACATTGCAATTTAATAAGATTTGTAAAGGTTGTTTTATATTAATAGTGACAGCTTGAAGGATAGATTTGCTCAACAAAGGAGAAACTGACCCAATTACGATTAACAGATACTGTTAGCTAAAATCAGAAATACTGGACATAAATTGGATGAGACGTAAGAATTATGGCTGGTATTACAGAGTTAATGGAAATGTCCTCAGCCTTCCAATGACGTTCTCAGATGGCTGGGATGGGATGGCCAGTCATCAGACATTGAACTAAACCCGAGACGTAGTGCTGCGGGGAAGGTGTCCAGAACATTTTCCTTTTAACTCCCAGTTCTAACACACTGACAAATCTCAGGACTGTTGAAAGAATCTCAGAATGAATCACTTTGGACATGGGAACATTCAACACCACTGGTACAAGCTTTGGTTTAGAGGCTACCAAACTGTTGTCTCCATCTAGAGAGTGAATTTTATAAAAAGTCTTGGAAAATTACAGCCACTTATGGAAAGAAGGAGTCCCTCAGTGGCACAGATGGTTAAGTGCTTGACTACTAGTTGAAAGGTTGGCAGTTCAAACCTACCCAGAGGCACCTTGGGAGACAGGTCCTGGCGATCTGCTTCTGAAAGAACACATCCTTGAAAACCCTATGGAGCATAGTTCTACTCTGTACACATGGGGTCACCAGGAGCTGGAATCGAAAGCAACTAAATACGACAACAATGGAAAAGAAGTATAAGTCCATGGGAGAAATAATGGAGTGTTTTAAGCAGGGTGGTTGAGATCTTCTTTAATTCTAAATTTCTCAATTTCAGTCTGAGATAAACAAAACAGTTAAAGTTGATGGTGTCTAGCAATATCTAGATTCTTCTGGGGAAATTAAATATTATATTTTCTTTGGGCTCTGTGAACCCATCTGGATTAATTTTAGTTCTTGGATGGAATCTCAAGATTTTTAGCAAGAAGAGAGTGATGTTTCTAGGTAATATCTTTTGTGGATCACCCCAAAATTTCTTTATAGACATATTCATTCTTATTAAATCTGTGCTGTATGCTTTAGTTGAACTGGAAGTTTTTCTGGGTAGCTCATTAATCTGAGTTGAGGTAACAATTGAATGTGAGGTTTTAGCCTTAAGCAAAAGAAAAAAAAAAAAATGATGTTTTGGTCTCAAAATAAAAGATAACCTAAAGGCATTTGGAAAAAGAAACTGAGATTTAAGATTTTTGCTATTTTTGAAAAAGCAAAGAAAAATATAGGAAATGTTTGAAGTGTCATGAAAAAATAAATGATAAAACCTGCAAACCTGTCTAAGATTTATATTTGTATTTCAAATCTGACTTGCCACCAAGTATCTACCCTCAAAGTTTCACTAGACAGCATCTGTTAAGAAGTTAATTATATTTAGGCTCTCTGATTTCAGTGGCCATTAATTCATTCATATGGTTGTTTTCTGCCTGGTACTCCAGGCACCAAGCAAAAAGTCCCTGCTCACACAGAGCTTGTAGGTGTTCTAGTGGAGACAGAGAAATAATATAAAAACAAATAAATAAATACAAGCGATATGTAAGTTGGAGAGGATGCTATGGAGAAAATAAAGTAGGGGAAGGAGAAGGGGATGGAGGGTCCAGAGAGGTTACTGAGCCTTTCTTGCCAGGTAACATTTGAGTGGAGCCTTGAAAGAAGCAAGTGAGCTGAGCTACCTGGGCAAGAGTATTTAGACTGAGTGAATAAGAGTGCAAAGGCTCTGAGGGGGGAGATGGTTGAAGAGGTTAAGTTATTTTAGTTTTGATTGCTCTCTGTTGTGTTAGCATCATTATGTCAGTGTTGTGTTCTGGTGTGGGGGAAGGTAGAAAGACCTATGCTTGGAATATGCCAGTGCTTCCTTTATTTTATTCCTTCTTTTCTTTCCCTTTTCCTTTTCTTTTCTTCTCTTCTTTTTCATTGCATTACTTATATTTTAAATTAAAATTATTGTGGTAAAATATATGTAACAAAACATTTGTCATTTTAGCCATTTTTAAGTGTACAATTTACTGACATTAATTACATTCACCACCGTATGCTACCATCATCACTATCCTTTTCCAAATTTTTTACTACCCCAAACAGAAACTCAGTACTCCTTAAGCAACAACTCCCCATTTCTTCCTTCTTCCAGCCCTGGTAACCACTAATAATCTTTTGTCTCTATGCATTTGTCTGTTCTAGATATTTCGTATAAGTGGGATCATACGATATATGTCCTTTTGTGTCTGACTTATTCACTCAGTGTAATGATTGCAAGGTTCCTCCATGTCATACCGTGTATCAGAACTTTATTTCTCTTTATGGCTGAATAATAGTCCATCATATAGACATACTACCTTTTTAATCAGTTGATCTTTTGATGGACACTTGGGTTGTTTCCACCTTTTGGCTGTTTTGAATAGTGTTGCTGCCATGAACATAAGTGTACAAGTATTTGATTCTCTGCTTTCAAGACTCTTGGGTATATACCTAGGAGTGGAATTGCTGAGTTGTAAGGTAATTCTATGTTTAACTTTCTGAGGAACCACCAAACTGTTTTCCATAGCAGCTGCTCCATTCTACATTCTCACCAGCAATGCACAAAGGTTCCAATTTCTCCACATCGTCACCAACACTTGTTATTTTCCATTTTTCTGATCATAGCCATCCTAGTAGGGGTGAAGCTCCTCAAGTTACCCTTTGCCACCTCTCTTATCTAATTATAAATTCAGAATCCCTGACCTGGCTGCTTTGTTGCCTTTTGATTTTTGCCTGAATGCATGATAATTCATGGCTGTTCCTCTCCCTCTAGGTGTGTATGGGTGAGAGACTCTGCAGGACTCTGAGGAAGAAAGTTAGTGATATTGAAGCCCAACTACCGGCATTGCTTGAAGCCAAAATGCTTGCCATATCAGGTAACTGGAAACAAGAAAAACACTGAAGCAGTAGGACTAAAATAATGAGAGCCGCTACTCCATTGGCGTTTTGGCCTTGATTAACATTGTACCACTTGCTTATGTCATATTCAAACATCTCAAAAACTTTTCTGGGAAGTTTCACTATATACCCATGGAATAGGTGGGCAATGTGGTTTTCTTTTACAGTAAAGGGATGGATAAGACTCTTAAAAAATACATACACACAAGACCAGGCTTAATGGTTTGATTGAGACTGGAGGGACCCCAGAAGACATGGCCCCTGGACTCTCTGTTAGCCCAAAACTAAAACCATTCCCGAGGACAACTCTTCAGACAGAGATTAGACTGGACTATGGGACACAAAATGATAACTTGTGAGGAGTGTGTTTCTTGGCTCAAGTAGATACATGAGACTAAATGGGCAGCTCCTGTCCAGAGGTAAGATGAGAAGGCAGAGAGGGTCAGGAGCTGGTTGAATGGACATGGGAAATCCGGGGTGGAAAAGAGGAATGTGCTGTCACAGTACAGGAAGAGCAACTAGGGTCACATCACAATGTATGTATAAATTTTTGTATGAGAGACTAACTTGAATTATAAACTTTCACTTAAAGCACAACAATAAAAACAAATACATACACACACAAAGTATAAAAGACTTTATTGGGTTAGGTCCAATATTTTGGACTTTCCAGTTCTCTCTGTTTAATAGTTTAGAGACTAGATTTAGTTTGTGTGCCAAAAAAATTCTAGCATATGTTTAAAAGGCCTTATGTATCTATAGATGCTCAGTGAGGATTATTGGATATTGTTAATTATCATTATGATACCATGAGGCAAGTTGATGTACTCAGTTTAACAACCTAGCCATAGAACTTGGAGAACTCCCATGAGGTCGTAGTCCGTCTTTAAATTGGAAGTTATTAAGGGACGTATTTTTCTATTAATTAGTAGGTTGGAACAAGAGTCTCTGAAAATAGTATCTTAACTTTTCATCCGAATAGTGCTTTTAAACATTCCTCTGCATTTGTTATTTAATTTGATTTTTCACAACAGCTGTATTAGGGATGTGGAAAAGGTGCTGGGATCTCAATGAACAGATGGGGAGAGTGAGGCTCTGGTGTGTGTCCTTTGGTTAAGTTTATTCACATAGCTAAGTGGGGGTGGATCAGGGACTAGAGTCCAGGTCTCCGCATAGTTCATGATATAAGGATTTTTAGCCCAGTTATATAATGATGGCTTCAAAATATTCTCTGAGTTTTATAGGTTGCATCATCTTCGTCAACTTTAGAAGAATCATAAAAATTTAATAAAAAGATAAAATAATTACATGTGTGGGTTTAAAATGGCATTTTAAAAAGGAATACAATAATTGGCAGCTTCTGCTCCTCAGATCATTAAACAGCTAATGTTGGCAGCTAACGAGAAATTTGGTCCCTGGTGCAGTAGCGCGGATTATTTACAACCAGCAGAACATCGAAATGTGAATGTGGGGCCTGGCTCATAACAACTTCACATGCCTTTTACTTGAAATTATGGCCCCATTTGCTAAGAGAAAAAAAAGGAAGATAGAACACAATCTTGTTTCTGAGTTAGGGTTTTTGCCTTTCTTAATCAATATATCTTTCCCAGGAATACAGGTGGATGTGTCTTTATTAAACCCAGGGGAGGAGATGTATAATTCAGGCAGCAGAGATAGCCCTCACTCAGATTTGAATCATGCCTTCTTAGAATCCTCAGGGAAACATTTGAAGATGGTATACTGTATATGGCCCCTGGGCTTTCTGCTTTAGCTCTGATCAGCTGAGAAAATTGGTGAGGGCTAAGGGCATGAGTGATGACCTGAGTGAACTGTATTGGGACTCACCCCTGGGCCTCTCTATTTCTTGGTAAATCTTTAGGCCCTTTGGTGAACAGCCTTTTGGTTACTGGAGTCTGCCTACTGGCTGTACTGGTGGCAGGGTGGTCGTCATTCTTTTGCAACTTCCATACTTAATGCTATTTCTGTTTCTTGTGAGATACACCCTAAAGCAAGAATGGCCAGAGGAGGGCAAAGGCACTGCCCTTAGAATCCTAACTGACCTATTTTCATATTCTCAGCCCATTAGAGAAAAGCACAACAAAATCCTCTCCAAGAGAAGCTTTTCTTTATTTTGGGCTCCATATGAGAATGCAGAGGGCAACGTCCTTAAGAGTCTTTGAAGCCCTGTTGAATGGAGAGGATCTTAAGGTATACCCTTAAGACTGTGAGAAGGCCTTTTGTCTGTCTGAAAGATCCTATGATCATCACTTTTGAGATCGTATAGACCTATCTTGGGTTTGATCTATGGCCTGAGATTCTTTCTTATTTTCAGAACCACTTGCCATCTGGAGAGGCTGGGAATAAGAAACAGTTTTATTTTCAAACCCAAGTCCTTTATATTTAACAGTTTATTATTTAACTTCTCTCTCTTCTGCATTTTACCATAGACAGTGACAAGAAGCCAGAGGGCACTTCTGTTTGTTGCCTGGAAATCTCCTTGGCTATATCATCAAGCTTATTAGGAGCTTTTTTCTGCATTACCTCAGCTGATAATGTTGCCAAACTTTCTGCCATTACATTCCAAGGGTCCCCTTTCCTCCAGGTTCTAATAAAGTGTTTCTTATTCGCCTTTGAGCCTTCACTGACATCTCCTTGAGGCCCTTTAGACTCCACTCAACACTTCCTAGAGTCCCATTAGGCTTCTGTCTGCCACCTGGTCCCAAAGCCATTGCTTCGTAGTTTAGGGTTTTGTTACAGCAGCGCCCCACTTCCAGTTACCCAAATCTGTTCTAGTTATCTATTGCTTCATAAGAAACCACCCTACTACTTAGTGACTTAAAACAACACAATCATTTCTTTTGCTCATGGATCTGCAGCTTCAGCAAGGTTTGACAGGGATAGCAGGGGTGACTCAACTAGGGCTGGAGAACCCACTTCCCAGATAGCTCACTCACGTGACTGGCAAGTTGATCTGGCTATTAGTTCCTCTATATGAGGACCTCTCTGTAGCCAGGTTGTCTTCCTTACAGCATGGCTGCTGGGTTCCAAGAGACAGGAAATGGAAGTTTCTAATTTCTTAAGGCCTGGACTCAGAAACTGGTGCACATCCCTCTTAGTTATCGATTGCTGTGTAACAAATCACCCCAAAGTTTAGCAGCATGAAATAATAAACGTTTGTTATTTCACACAGTTTCTGAGAGTTACGAATCCAGGAGCAACTTAACTGGCTTGTGCTGGCGCAGGGTCTCCTGTGAAGTTAGCATGAAGATATAGGCCGGGTCTATTATCAGAAAAACCACAAGTATTGGTGAGGATGTGGAGAAGCTGGAACCCCCATGCATTGCTGGTGGCTGTTTTTAAATGATGCTGTTGTCTATGGAAAACAATTTGGAAGTTCCTCAAAAAGCTAAACATAGAATTGCCTTATGACTCAGTATTTCCACTCCTGGAAGACTTGAAAGCAGGAACACAAGCAGATACTTATACACACTGTTCATTGCAGCACTATTCACAATAGCCAAAATGTGGAAACAACCCAGGTGTCCATCAAAAGATGAATGAATAAAAAAAGATAGTATATCTATATGATGGAATATTATTCAGCCATAAAAGGAAATGAAGTTCTGATACATGTTATACGTGAATGAACCTTGCAAACATTATGCTAAGTGAAATAAGTCAGACACAAAAGGACAAATATTATATGATCCCACTTATATGACATATCTAGAATAGACAAATGCATAGAGACAAAAGATTATTAGTGGTTACCAGGGGCTTGAGGGAGGGAGGAGTGGGACATTATTGCTTAAGGGGTACTGAGTTTCTGCTTGGGGTGATGAAAAACTGGGAAACAAATAGTGGTGATGGTGGTACAACATGAGTGTAATTAATGTATACATAAAAATGGTTAAAAGGCAAATTTTTTGTTTTATGTATTTTACCACAATAAAAATAAAAAAATCTCCCTCCACTGAAAAAGAAAACAGAAAAAATATAGGCTGGGGCTGCGTCATCTGAGGGCTCGGCTGGGGCTGGAAGACACATTTCCAAGCTCGTTAATGTGGCTGTTAGCAGAAGGCCTCAGTTTCTTGCCACATGGGCCCTGCCACAGGGCCACACACAACGTGGCAGCTGATTTCCCCTAGAGCAAGTGATCTGAGAGAGAGTGAACAAACAGAAGCCACAGTGCCTTCCTGGTACTTAGCCTCCAGAGTTGTACCCTGTCACTGCCCTGTATTCACTGAAGCAAGGCAGTAAGTCCAGCCTAGACTTAAGGGGAGGCAAGATAGTTCTACCCCAATGGTTGTGTGTTAGAGAATTAGGTGGTCGTTGTTATTGGGTGCTGTCGAGTTGGTTCCAACTCATAGTGACCCCATGTGACAGGGTAGAACTGCCCCATAGGATTTTCTTGGCTGTAATCTTTACAGAAGCAGATCGCAAGGTCTTTCTCCCGTGGCGCTGCTGGTGGGTTTGAACAGCGAGACTTCAAGTTAGCAGTCTAGTGCTTAACCGTTGTGCCATCAGGGTTCTTTGAATTAGGTGGAGATACTTTTAAAACTCTCATGGCATCACTTCCGCCTATTTTATTGGTCAAGTGGTCATGGAGCCCTGATTCAAGGGGAAGGGACATAGACACCAACTCTCAGTGAGAGGAGTGTCCAAGAATTTTTGGACTGTGTTTTAAAAAGCACCACAGCGACTAAGGAGCCAGTAGAATTTTGAGAAGGAAAGTTTCTAAGGCAGAGGCAATGACCTAAAACCCTGTGGACCACAATGGTCTGATCTGCAACCAATCATGGTAGTGGTGCAGGACCAGGCAGTGTTTTCTTATATTGTGCATAGGCTCGTCATGAGTTCGAACTAACTCAACAGCCGCCACGGCAACCCATGTCTATGCCTTAGCTTAGACATTTAGTAACAAGGGTCCTTCCTATGTGTAACTGACCCTAGTTTTAGACTCTGGTTCTGCTCTGTT